GGCCTCAGCCTGGAAACCAGGGAACCCCAATTCCATCTGGAGGATGTGGTGATATTTGGATGGACCTTCTGGTTATGGATCTAGATTTCTCTCCTAAGCTCTTTCCTCTCTTGGGCCCAGGCTGTCTGAGTTAGCTCTGTGTGCCCTCAGTGTAGAGGGGTCAGACCCTGTGGCACAGGGCCTGGGAGGCCATCCCTGCTCTGTGATGTCCTTGAAGAGGAGCTGCCCCAAGGTCACCAAGGCCATCCTGCTGAGTGTGGCATGAAGGAGCTGGTTTGTAGGAAAGAGTTCTGGAATGCTGGTCCTGGGATTATCTGAGATGGTGAAACCCCCTCTTCCTCAGCCTTCTTGGGGCTGCTGAGAACCCCTTCGCCACCCTGAAAGTGAGCACAAGTCTTCCCACCCTCATCCCCCTCCACTCGAACGGAAGGCTTCGACCTGACAACCTGTAGGAACGAATCCATCAGCGTGACTGTTTATGAGCTGTAGAAACACATCAGACTGCGCTCCCTCCGTGGCGGGCCGGGGCGCCCGGCTGGGGCGACACACTATCCACGAGGTCTGCTCTTGCACAAGCCAGATGTGGCCTGTGGCCCTGAGAGAGGTGCTTACCGCCACTGCCCGCCCTGCTGTTCTGATGGGTCAGCTACCTCACGGCGGGGTCGGCTCTGCATCCAGAGAGCAGCGCTGACTTGGAAACTTGAAGTCCTCGGCAGTCCTGAGCCCGTCGTCCCTGTGCGCTCCGACCTGGGATCCCAGAGCATTGGAGTCTCTCCCCACTTGTTTCAGGGATGTCCAAGGTACATAGTCAGGGGGCAGGCCCCCGCTCCACTTGTTGCACAAACATCCTAAGTGTTTGGAAGCACAAAGAATTGTTGTGATTTGAGCACAATGGAGGCCTGGCAGGCCCTGCAGTCAGACATGGTGTCTAGGAGGGGCTGCTGAAGGCCTGGCCTGGCAACATACCCTCATTGTGGGACTAGTACTTCTCCTTCCACGCCCATTCTAAGATTTGAGGCTGGCCCACTGTGGGCCCAGGAATCCATTCCCTTCTAGGCAGGGCCCCTCCCCACCCCCAGATCTCTGACAGCCTGGAGCCCAGGCTTGACCTCAGCCTGCAAGTTTCCTTACTGAACCTAAAGCGATTGGCTCCAGGGTCTCTGTCTCCCAGACTAAGTCTGAATTCTTTGTAAGCTGGTTGGCAAGCTGAATGTCTGCATCCCCACCCGCCCTTCTCCAGCACTGTGCCAGGACCCCATCTCAGTATTAACCAGATCAGTGTTAACTTTCCTAGCAGGCCGACTCCTCCTTGGCGGTGTGACTTCTCCACACTTGGCAGCTGGGTTTACCCCTAGAGAGTGCCAAGGAGGGAGGAAGCTCTGCGAGCTGGGGCTGGCCTGCCCCAGGCTTTGAGGTGGTCAGGTTGCCAGCCTCTGCTCTTGGGAAGGAACCGCTGAGGACTGGGAGTAGTATTCTGGCTATTCAGCCTCGCCCTGCCTTCGGTGTAGGAAAGAAACCCTCAGACCCAGGTTTGTCCAGCCCCACACACCTGGGGCTTGGCCAGGGAGGGGTCAGTTTAAGCACACCAACCGCGTGGAAGGCGTGGAGAAGCTGGGGCTTGCACATGTTGCCTGGTGCAGCACAGCCACTGGCAGGAGACTGAGTAAAGCCAGGGAATATAATGTCCCCTGGCCTGCTCTCTTCCATTCACAGGGACCACCCAACTCTGGGTATCCCAGATGTAGTCGAAGTTGGGTGTTGGCACAATCGTGTTGGTGAAACAAGCCCAGCCTGTGCCTGGTGTGTTTACCATTGAGTTTGTGTTGGCTTGGCTTGCCCAGCAGAAGAGACGTGCTCCTCCCAACTGCATGGCCCAAACCTGTGGCAGCTGTTCCTTTGCCATCCCAAACAGGAAATGGTTTACTGTCGTCTTCACTTAAAACAGCCTCCTGCTTCAGGCTCAGGTGCCGGGGCTTGGCCAGTGTTCTCTGCAGACCTTTCTGGGCCCAGCCCTTCTCTCCCGGCTTCCAAATACTGCTTTTGTGCAAGGACAGAATCTACAGGGAAAGTTTTTAGGGGGTTTTTTCCTATGGCACCGTTATTCTGTACCTTCCCCATCCTGGCACTCAGATGAGCCCCCAGCCCTTACCAAACCTCAGTTTGGTCCTTTGGACCCATGTCTCGAGGGCCTTGCAGAAGTGGGAAGGTGGAGATCTCCCCATGAAGATCTGAGGGTCAGAGAAGATCCCTGTAGAGAATCGTGAATCAGGCCCAGTCGTGCCTACCAGCTCTTTTCTATCACCTCCTGCCCAGGCTACAGGGTTTCACGTGACTCCTGTTCTCAGCGACGTGGCTAGCACAAGGTGTATATATGTTTTGTTTTGTACCTCTGCCGATGACTGTACATAGTGTATGAAAGTTATTTAAGCCTCATGCTGTACATTTTTTTGTTCCTAGATTGAATGTGAGTGTTCCAAGAAGTTGTCATAAATAAATAAAACTTGAATGACCATCTTTGGAAATGTGTGTGGTACTTGTTGGTTACTGATATTTGATCAGTGGGGTAGGGGGTTGGTGACGGGGGGTAGGAGGTTGGTGGTGGGTGGACAGGGCTAGTCCTTGATATAGCATAGCCTTAGGAAAATTTCCAGGGCTCTTGAGTGTGGGGCTTACCCAGTCGGTAAGCAGGGCTTTGAGAGTGTTGAGTTCCATTCCAGATGCAGAGTGTTACCTCCTGGGACAGGTTACACAGCCGAAAGAAGGTGCTAACACTTAATGAGCATCCATGTTTCAGGAGCTGTTCCGGGCTGGCAATATTCACTTTCTCTCCACTACCCTGTGTGGTATTCTCCTGTAATCTCAGCAAGAACAGGACTTGTCCAGAAAGACAACCAAGGAAGAACAGAGCCAAGGAACTCTGGTGGCACTGTGGTGAAAGCATTCATCTGCTAACTGAAAGATCAATGGTTCAAACCCACCAGCTCTGCTCCACAGGACAGAGATGAGGCGTTCTGTTTCTGTACACGTTTACAATCTTGGAAACCCAAAGAGGCGAATGAGTCAGAATGCGCGTTGTAGCAGTGGGTTTATATTTGGCATTTGACTCGACCACAGCCCCCATTTCCTTTCCAAAGTGTACCCCACATCTCTGGAGCCTACAGTCTGCTGTGTTGGGATCTCCTCCT